CGGGGCTCATAGACAAGCAAAAGAAAAGGCAGCGCCGATACATTTGAAGCAGCAGCAATTACAACTTAAGTATGTTAAATATTATCAGTTACTAGAAGATTATTCACTTTCTCATAGGTAATAATGGCAGAAAACACAAGTCCAGCTATCACTATGACTTGTGAGGTTTGTTCAGAGTATTACACTGACCCCCTCATGCTTCCCTGTCTTCACTCATTCTGTAAGAAGTGTCTGATAAAAGCTAAAGAGAAGCAAGGTAGTGCTGATACCTCATTAAAGTGTCCAACGTGTGACACTAACGTTAATTTACCTGATGGTAACATTGAAGGCCTCACTCAAAACCTTTGGTTAGAACATAAATCAAAAGAGGCTTCAATCAAAAATAAGATTCTCAGCAAGGAAGCAGTATTGTGTGATGAGTGTAGTGTTGATGATTCCAGTGATGCAGCTGTCGTGTATTGCTGTGATTGTGGCCAGTTTCTGTGTGAGCATTGTAAGAAAAGTCATAAGCGGAGCAAGAAAAAAGCCAATCACAAGTTGATCAATTTAGAAACAAAGGAGTCTATTGAGTTGCCTGCTATTAAACATGAGGCAGTTTATTGCATTCAACATTCAGAAAAGCTGACATACTACTGCAAGGATTGTGATAAATTAGTTTGTCAGATTTGTCTTAACATTCATCATAAAAATCACAATTACAATTATTACATAGATGAAGGAGAAACAGCACGTAAAGCATTAAAGGAAAGTGTTACTAGTTGTGATGGAGTCATTCCTCTAGTCACTGAAGCTATTGCTAATGGAGAGAAGATGCTAGAGCAGATAGCAACACATAAAGAAGAAGTAAGGCAGGAAATCAAGGAAACGTTTGAAGAGCTTAAAGCTGTTTTAGATAAGAGATGCAACAATCTACTAATGGAGACAGAAGGGATTGCTAGTGCTAAGAGGAATTCTGTCGAGAAGCAGTTGGACGAGTTTCATAAACTGGTAAAACAAGTTTCTCACGGTTGTCATCTTGCATCATCAGTGAGTGAGCGTACTGATCCAGGTGAAGTTCTCAGTGTTAAAAAGCTAATCACCAATCAACTAGAGGAATGCATTGAAGAATATAAGAAACTACCTTTAGAAATAGAATATAAAAAAGTAGTTTTTACACGCCTTGATAGTACTGCCATTAGCAATGAAATTCATAAATTTGGCAGTGTTTTTGAAGCTGATCCAGCCACATACTCCATTGATAGTGGGTTAGCTATTCCATTGGCAATGGTAAAAAAAGAAAGGAAATTCAAAGTGGCCCTACCAGCAGGCATTGATAAAGCAGCAAGTTATTTGAAGGCTTCCTTTATCAAAAGTGATGGTAGTAAAGAGGAGAGTAGAGTTGTTATAGTGAATGATAACAACACAGCCATTGTATCATGCACACCTCAAAGTATTGGTGGATATGAACTATCAGTGACTACAAGAGGTCACCATATTAAAGGTAGTCCTTATCAACTGTCAGTAAAAGCATCAAGAGACTATACCACACTAACTAACCAGAGATACTTTGATGTAGGGAATGGTACCGATGGTATTGCTGTTCATACTAATGGTGAGATATTTGCTGGTAATTGCATTGATGGGTTTGTTCAGGTATTTAGTGAGGATGGTACTGCAGTGAGAAGGATCGGATCTAAAGGTGATGGTAATGGACAGTTTAAATATCCTTGGGGTTTATTGCTGGTAGGAGACAGGCTCTATGTTTCTGATTATAAGCTTCATCGTGTGCAATATTTCTCAGCTACTACTAGTCAGTATATTGGTCAGTTTGGTAGTTTTGGTAATGGAAATGGACAATTGTCTAGTCCTTTTGGTATGTCTACTGATGGTAAAGGTAACATATTAGTAGCTGATAACAGCAACAAAAGAGTACAAGTGTTTAAAGAAGATGGTACATTTGTACAAGTCATACAATGTGATGGTAATGCAACTGATGTAGCAGTTGATAATGAAGGAAAGATACACGTTACCATTTCGAATCCCAATCACGTTCAAGTCTTCTCTCCTGATGGTAAAACTCATCTTGATACATACAATAATCCAGACGGTAACTTTAATTATCCTCGAGGTATTGCTATTGATGATGAAGGATATATCTTTGTATCATGTAACAATGGTTGTCTTCATGTATTAAGTCCTGACAGGAAACAAGTCAAATTAATCTCAGGATTATCTGATCCAGTGGGCATGGCACTGGATAAGGATGGAAACATTTATGTTGCTGTATTTGGTAACAGTCATATAACGAAATATTAAAGTAATCATTCAATAAAACTGCAATGAATGAGATGCACTATAACAATAATCTTACAATTTTTGTATGAAATGATGTTTTGTCACTCTCTATCTCATTCCCTTCCATCACACACTTTTTCTCCTTTCTCTCCTCTTTACTTTAAGTGTTATCAATAGGTAAAACTAGTCATTTCTAAATAATCACATAAAATTGCCACTGCTAATGGCTGAAGTCTTGATACAATATTAACCAGTGTTGCTGGTACTCCTCCCATATCAACCTAATCAATGTACGTCATGTTTGACTCCACCCACAACCACACCCACCTGCACATGATACATGACTTGTGTGAGTAGTTTTTCTTATAGCGATAAGGTTCAATGACCCACCCACTAGTCATGACCTAGTAAAACTTTGTATATTCTAGTAATCTCGTTACATATCTCTAACCTTTCCTCTTGTACAGTTTCACACTATATTATAATACAAGTTCCTGATCACAAATGATTGTACAATCTAAACCAAATTAATACAAATACATTAATTATTATAGTACAGTATTATACCTGTGCAAACAGTTCTTCATTGAAGAGCACATTTTGAGCTGATTTAAGTATCTGCTCCCATGGAGTTAACATCAACTGTTGCTTATGAAGCTCAATGAAACAAGACGGCAACAATGAATCAAGAGAAACAACCTCTGGAACAAAAACCACATGAACATGTACACATAGATGACATGTACAATCATGTGATAGTCATGTGACATACCATTACCTTTAATAGGTCTGTCTGCTAGGAATATAACTACTTCACTCCTTCCTCTTAATTCTTGAGGTACCACTACTGACAGTATATCATTAGTACCTTCAATTTCTTTATGAACCTCAAACTGAACTGACTGAGCATATAGTGAATCAACCACAATTAATAATGATAGTAACGATTTGAGAAAATTTTTCATTTGTATATTTTTCAGAGACTTATATGTTCTTATGTTGTGCAGCAAGTTTGAGCTGATTCCAATAAAAATTAGATTATTTAAACAAATTTTAAAGATACTTAAAAATTGGGCCGA